ACTGTAGCTCTGATTACTGAATCATGGTGCTCATACTCTGTACTTGATGTGCATATAGGCATAGATGATTACACTGTACACCGTGCAAATAGAGACTGCAAGCGTGGTGGAGGATGTCTCATATATTTACACAACTCATTCGTACCCAGTAAGGTGGAAGATGAAATACTGAACGAGGTACCTGATTCACTCTGGGTCGTCTTACAAGGAGATAAGTACAAGCTTCTCATAGGCCGTGTTTATCGAGCACCAAGCTCAACCAAAGAAACTGATGCGTTATTAGCTAAATCATTCGCACACACCTCATCGTTTAGTACTGATTACAAAATAATTGCAGGGGACTTCAATCTTCCAGAAGTCAATTGGTTAAGTAGTTCCGGCCCCCAACGCTTTGACGAATTACTTGCCACTATCGATTGTTATGGATGGCAGCAACACGTCCAGACACCTACTCGTGGTGACAACATGTTGGACCTTGTGTTTTTTCATGGCAGAATCCCAGTCTCCACCTATGTTGGCAACAGATTTTCCAGTAGTGACCATAGAATGGTACTCTGCTCTCTGCCTTTCTCACCACTAAATACAGGAAACAAACAGGATTCAGGGAGCTTGATTTGTCGTAGTTACAAACATACAGACTGGGGATTAGTCCAAGAACTCATTCGACTCTGTCACTGGGATGAATATTTTACCACTGACTCCCTGGAGGCTGTGGTGTCCCTATTTTACAGGAAAGTTATCCTTTGTCTAGATACTGTTACTCCTAGGAAGGTAGTGAAATTAAGTAGACACCAAGCTGAATACATTCCGAGGGCATGCCGCAATAAGTTAAGGAAGTTGAAGAAACAGTATTATTCCACTAAGGATATATCACTACTGCACTCAACCCATGAGTCTCGTGAATCTCTCAAGCGCCAACGCTCTCAAAAGGACCTCGACGAAGAATTAAGGGCACTTGAAAGCACCTCCAAAGTTTATAACTTAACAACACTTCTTAAAAAACGAATGCAGTCGACGAGGGACATCCCCTATTTAATTCATGACAAAGTTATCTACAATGTGCCTGCCACCATCTGTGAAATATTCAGTGAGTGGTTTGCAAACTTCAATTTAGAAACGCGCATTCCTGGTGAAACCGGCCCCCTTACTAGCTCTTTCCTCGGAAGCATAGTGTTCGCCAACCAATTAATAGAAAAAGCAGTTAAAAGCCTGAAACCTTCCACTAGCACGGGACCAGATGGCCTTGCTTCTATAATTTTCAAAAACAGTGGGTGTGATATACCCCTACTACTTCTTAAATTCTTCTCAATATCTATGGACACTGGCACTTACCCTAATGAGTGGAAAACTAGCTTCATGATTCCACACTATAAATCCGGTGATAAGGCAAACGTCCGCAATTACAGACCTATAAATATAACCCCATTTGTCTCGCGAGTCATGGAGAAAGTTGTCAAAGATCAATTGTCAGACTATCTACTTAAGGAAGATCTTGTTACAAAGTGTCAACATGGATTCCTCAAAAATAGGTCATGTATTACTTGCCACTTCGACTTTTTCAACTGCATCACTAGTGGTCGCGAAGCACGTAAGCTAGTTGTTGTTCTCTACTTCGATATATCTAGGGCATTTGACATGGTATCTCACAGTATTCTCTTTGAGAAGCTGTATTCAGCTGATGAAGTACGGGCACAATGTGTACTAACGTTAAAATGGCTTAAACGAGAAAAACCTAATCTGATGGGTTTAATTACGAAATATCCATTATATTTAAGAGAACTTCAAATAATTTTCTTTGAACCAGTGGTTTTTTCTTGGCGAATCATTTTTTGACACAATCATACGAATAGATGGCAAAGTAGTTGCTCTGTGGCTAAGAACCGTAGTCGTTTTGTTCCGGATTAATATTGCGCATCTAACTGTTATAACCCTATTTATATAGCCTTTTCCTCACGGTGCATTATGATATCTAGAAATCATAAGCACACTGTCTTCGGAAAATTTATTTTTACTTTTTAAGTGACTGCAAATAGTGAGTCACATGAGCTGATACGATGAATGCCTCTAAGGGCTTTTGTGGAGATTAGGGTATATTTACTTTCTTCGAGTAGGAGACGATCTTTCTACCGAGAAAGTTCTCAGGATGCCCACTCTTACTCTGTAGTTCGGAGGTAACGTTAAGTTGCTCACTAATGTAGTAGCCACAAGGGATTACCCTTGGCGAAAACTAATTTAAGGTAGCTACGTAGCTTTAGGTAATAATAATAATAATGTATTTCATATAAATTTACAAATTTACATGAAAATGCATGCCATTTTTACAGGCACGATCAAGTATGATATAATATCAAATCGTAGATTGTCTACAAGTTAATCGTATTTCAACTGTTAAATATTCGATACATATAATACACTCATTTTCTGAATTAGGCCGTATAGTTATTGAATTGTACAGTTGTCCTCCAGGTTGAGCGGGAAAATCGACTTCGTTCCGTTTTCATCCCGTGGTTGTAGGCATACGATAACCAACCGATATTGAGGTAAGTACACCTTTTACAAGGGATTGGAATCTGTTTTAGAAAAATTAAAGTGCTGAGGTGAATCATTAAATTGTAATGAGATAGGTAAGTGCAAGTATCATTAATAAATGCATTAATAAAGGAAACACCCTAGGGTAACAACATTCATTTGCAATGTATAATGCTACAGATATATCACAAACTATCATGATATCCACTTTTGGTTTTAATACAATTATCCTCATGCCAGTTGTTTTTATTTTATACCTTTTTGTTCATTTAGCGCACAACCGTACCCTTCAGAGAGTAGGAGTATAATAAGTAATGAAGAGCTATAAGATGTTAAGTTTAATGGAGTAAAATGAGGATCAAGTAAAGACGTTGTCAGAAAATAAATGAGATAAGACATTGTGGAGTGGTATGAAAAGATCTGACGATAGACAGCAAGTTAATTTATAAGATGCCCCATAAATCTGAGCAGATCCCACATGGTCGCATCTCAACAATAGGCTGGGTGAATGGTATATATTTAAAGGTAGAAGCATGATCTGTCAAGGCGTTCATTGTTATCTTTTTCAAGATAAAGATTTAAGCCCTCATAAAAACCAGAAATATCTCGAGCCTTCAAATTTTTTAATGCTGTTCCTGCAGAATGGGGCGATTCACCTTAGTGTCCACCACCATATCTACTGATCAGCTAACTCCACCCTCCCACCTTTTTTGATGTTAGGCTCTGAGACTATGATTATTATGGTTACCGCAAATATATTGCTTGGTACCAGACATGTTCGTACCCCATATTCCATCTCCCTAGCTTTCTTAATGAGTGCTTCCAATAGGTCCCCGCGTACATCTTTATGAACATATTATATATGTATGCACGCGTCCTAATGAACAGATTACTTTATAAGAAGACAAAAACCTTGAAGAATAACAAGAATAGGTTTTGTGAATAGTGGAGCAAGATTCAGCAGAACAATATAGTTAGGGTTCAATATAGGTAGTATGAACTGAAGGTAAGGTCGGTTGGCAGGACCAAGTGTACTAAATTATCATGACAGTTTTATATATAGTAAACATTTGACATTGCAAAGTAACCTGTCTACATATATTATAAAAAGATATTAGCAGAACCAGCAAAATTTCAGCATTTGGTTAACAATAC